AAGTTGATTTTTTGGAGCCCAAAATTTTAAAAAACCCCAAAAAAAAAAAAAAAAAAAACCCCCCCCCCCCCCCCCCCACCGAGACCCAACAAACATTTTGGTCCCTGTTGTAAGAAAATATAACATATTGCTGATTAAAGTCCTGAATTTACTTTTTTAAGCATTTCCCAGGTCCAGGTCAGACTTCTATTTTGGATCCTGTTCAAGGAGTTCATGCCAAGTTTGCACCCTGGAGATGTTCTAATATTAAAAGAGCTTGAATATGCAGGGGCGCTCCTAGAAGGGGGCAAGTGAGGGCTGTGGCCTGATAAGACCATGGTCTTATGACAGCATAAAATTAAAAAAAGTCATAATAATAAAAATGTCAAATACAACACATATTTATAAGATGCAGTCAATCTCATCCTATTTCAAATCAACATATTTTTTAAATGTTTTCCAAAAAGATCTGGTGGTGGGTTATTCCAAAGTGAGGGCGCTCTACATTTAAGTATGCTTTGCTTAATTGCTGTTTTGCATAATGGTGAGTAAAAATTGCAAGAGTATCTGAATCAGTTGGATCAAATTGTTTTACATGCCTTGACACTGAAAATCTGTGCTATATAAATAAAGGGAAGGTAATTATTTTATTAGCATTGAAACGTGTGAATCCTCAAAATGATGCTGTGGATTTATACTGGAGAACCAAATATTGAGTCTCATGAGACTATTTTGTTTATCTGGAGTCATTTGAACTGATATTATTTATTTTACAGCAACTTCTGCATGTGGAAATGTTTCATAAATTATGAAGAATGTCCACACCTCCAAAAAATCTATTTATTTGGCATAAGAGGAAAAGAACAGAGTAAACATAGTAAACATTTACATTTCATAGATCTTCACAGTGCCTTTGCATTAACTGCAGATTTCTGATATGCATTTCCAAATTTTTCATTTATTTTCAGTCTTATTGTAAACAGAAATGTAACAGAACTACATGAATTATTATATTTTTTTTAGAAGAGAAGCAAAATTGGCCTGCAATTTATTCTTTTGTCACTTTTTATTCAAGTTAGTCATAGTTGCAGCACAAAAGATGACATGGAGAATGCAGGACAGTGAGATCCTCTTGAAGTCACAGCAGATAAGATTATTTTACTTACCAGTCTGAATAAATGCCTAAAATACCTTTAATTACACAAAGCGTTTAATTGAATTTGTTTAATATTTCCACTTCCAGATGAAAGTAGCTTCCTCATAAGAGAAATAAAAGAGTGTAAGCATATCGATCTGAGCTTAAAACATCATCCCAATCTGTGTGAGCATCTCATTTCTTTATTCAAATCAAAAATGCATGGTCTATCCCAATTAACAAGTCAGAAAAAGTTACTAACCTCAATTATTGACATGCTGTCTGATAATTATAAGAGTAATGATTCTTTGTTTAGGTACAAATTGTTAAAACAAAATTTAAATGAATTTAAACTTTATATTTTCTTGTGAGACATTTCCTTTGAGGAATAAATAAAAGAGAGAAAAAAAGCAATAATTTCACACAAAAAAACCCCTTAAAGATCAAATATCATTTGAGTGCATGCAATGCACATAATATTTCCATTAACATCTTTGATTTTTTTTACATACACTATGGCATTATTTTTCTTTATCATTATTATTTTGATTAGAAATAGTAGCCGAAGCGCCATTAGTAGTATTAGTAGTAGTATTAGTATTTGTATTAGTAATGTTAGTAGTCATGGCAACCAACAGGGGGCGACAAACTGAGTTATTCTGGGTCCATTATAAATGACTTCTCATCTTCATGTTCTTTGTTCTAATAACAAAAACAGCAGTTTCATGAAAAATATGTTTTGTATATTTACTAGGTTTTACAACAGGTTCAATGGGAAATGTTTGGATCTGTAGCTGAAGGTGAACAGATTTAAATAAAATTAAGATTCTGCTGAATCTCAACAGCTAAAGGAAGATCCGGCCAAATCGAAACATATAACACAATGTTATGAAAAAGGCCCAACACTGTGAAAATTGTAATGGATCTAGTGCTGCATATTTCAAGAGTAACACAATTCGAAATAATCATTCTTTTTTTCTTTCTTTTTTTTACATAAGCTTTATAGATTGCTGTCTTTTCTGCTACATTTTCATCTAAATTTATTTAATTCTGCAACATTTGACCTAAAATTGTCTCAGAGCTGCCCTCTTTGGGTTGACTAGTTGGTACTGCAGTCAGTTTTTCTTATTCGTTACAATGTTACAGTTTGGTGGATGTCTATTTTAGAGTACTGCATTCAAATATAAAAGAATCTCAGTAAGAAAGATGCCCCGGGTTGGTCAGTAATTGGAATTGTAAGAGTGTGATTATTGATCAATTAGCTTTTTTCAGCTTTGCATGTGTATTTAATTTGCAGATGTGAACACAGGTTGGAATAGGACTCCTTTCCACTGTGTTAGACATTTCATCTGTTGTCTCAAAAGTGTCCAATAGCAGAGAAAAAACTCAGTACATTTGTCATTAGTCGCATTTTTGAAAATAAAGTGGCTAGAGGGGTCCGACAAGTTGATAACATCATAGTTACAAAATCATTAAGTTGGCAAAAGAGTTTTCTCTTGTTCTGATCATAGCCCTGCTTAACCCCTTCCACTCATCCCTGCACAAAGTCACGCCCCTTTGTGTATCTTGACTCCGCCCACTTTGGTAGAATTTTTCAAAAATTGTCAAGGGGCGGAGCTAAGCTGTCTCAAAGGAAGGTTGATTTGGTTACGCTTTAATCTCTCTTTATGCTAAATAATAATAATAATAATAATAATAATAATAATACATTAAAATTCAAATTAAAAAGCAGCACTGCTATAGAAAAGGCAATTAGTCTGTAGTAGGCTTAAATGATTTTGCATCACATGTTCTGCATCACTGGAAACAAAAACATAATTACATTTGTATGTATGATTTTAATATGTATAATTTGATTCACCAATTTAATCACTCCAAGTAATAAATTGATATCTTTAAAATATATTGAAAAAAATATTTATTTATATCTAGGCAATATTTAAAATGTACTAGTAACAATGAATTAAATAACATTAATTTTGGAGATAGCCTTCTATAGAAAGGATATTATCTGCACCCTGGTGAAGTAAAATTAAAAAAATAAAAATAATAATATGGAAGAGACAGCAGGGGAAGAATATGAAAGAAGAAAGATTCAAGCGCAAAATGGTAAATATAAGTTAATTTTCTCCTAGTTATCAGGCCTGGTGGTAGTAGTATTAGCAGTATTAGTTGTAGTGACTGGTATGCAAAGCATTATCATGCAGTGAAGTAATTGCTATTTGAAAAGCATTGACTGAATAATGTGAGACAGTGGTGGGTTAAACATACAGAGTTTAATCAGTAACTAGTTTGAGCTGCCTACGAACTCAAACCAGATAGAGTTAAACTAGGAAAACGGCAGCGGGGGCGATCTACCAACACATCTATAGGAAAGATGTACAAAGTCACAGTCTGTACAGTGACCAATGAGTCAAAACAGAAGTGGGTGGTCAAGAAAGCTTTCTGATTTAGTCTGGAGATCTCAATCTCTTCAGTTCGTTCTCTGTCTTCCTTTTGTTTAGCATTTCTTGCATTTTAGTTCTTTTTGGAGCATTTATGCTACGCAAAGGTTGTCCTTTCCTTTGATTTCCATAAGCAACTCCGCACTGTCAAGAACTCAGTAGAAGTGGGGCATTCGGCTGCAGGTTCTGGAAGAAAAGAGTGAACACTTAAGTCTGCCATTTTGTTTGCATGAAAGCAAAATGGCAGCAGGTAGAAATTATCAAAAAGCAAAAATACCAATTCAAACAGCAAGCCACAGGAGGAAGAGGCATTACAATTGAGACTAAAAGTTTAGTTTTAGGGGGAAGCAAGGCATATTTGTTAACAAAATAAACATCCTGTTTGATGCTTGGGTAGAATTTTGGGCAAGAGCAGAATCGTATCATAGCATAAAAATGTTTTCCTTGATACGTTTTTACAATTTGTCATGTTACAAAACAAATTTCAATTTATTCCACTGTAACTCTGGAGAGGCTACTGTGGACGTGCATGCAGCTGTTCCGCAATGAAACCACTGAAATGAATTCAGAGCAGAATATACTGGATTCCCGGGTTTTTACCGGATTAAGAACCTACATCCACCAAATAATAGCTGAAATCAGCGAACACTTGATAATTGCTCTAAAAACACTTACAACGACCTATTTCAATATTTCAAACGTTAAACATACTGTAATATGCATTATCACACACCGTAGAAACCGACTTAGCACTACCAGAAAAGCTAGCATCAACCGCCTTAGGGTTTCAGCCAATCAGCTCCGAGGAAAACAAATGGCGCTCCTGAATTGGCTGCTTTGCAAACATCAGCCAACAGCTTGTCAACTACAATTTCACTAAAGTTTTTCTAGTTTCCCAGCTGTTTTTTCTTGATAACATTTTAGTTTTGCCCATATGTGAAAAAAAATCAGAGAATATGTGAATTTTCCAGTCATTTCTATGAATAATTTGGAATTACGTTCCAAATCCTTGAAATAATCCAGCTGTATGCGCATTCCTGTCTGTGGTTTACTGGCCTGCTTACGTTTATACTAGAGTCCAATCAAATCTGAATCTTCTGGTGCTAGAAATAAATTAAATCTGGGGTATTTTTGTTTCAAGTATAGTGCTCATTTAGTAAAAACAAACAAATACAAAACAAAACAAACAAACAAACAAAAGAAGGTATTTGTTGACATGATATAATACTTCTATGAACAAAAAATGTGCACAAAATGTCTTCAATGTTAGATAATGCTAATGCAATAAAGATAATGCTAATGCAATAAAGATAATGCTAATGCAATAAAGATAATGCTAATGCAATAAAGTGCACATTTTTAATGTAAATAAGTGTGGAGGGTACCATGTAATCTGTCATGAATGCTATCAATGCTAATTTGACAGAAATAAGGCACAACAAATTAATCATGAAATCCAAAATATATATTTACATTTGATTTGATTTTACTGCAGAAATAAGCACATCTATAAAGAGAAAAGAATTAAGGAAGTCCAAACAAGAAATTGTAAAGTTGGGCATGTTTCTCTCTTTTTAGCCAGTTTTTTTATTTTTTATTTTTTTTAGTTTGTGGATATATTTCTTAGTATGGACTTCTGCGTTTCATCATGCAACATAAATCATATTTACCGCTTACGTGGCCTTTGCTACTTTTGTGCGCTTCATCCTTTTCCTCCTCATGAGGGTCACCTGGGGCCTCTTTAACCCTGCAATCAGCAGCAGCAATCTGGGCCGTGACTTGGTGAGCCAGCTTCTCAGTAGAGTCCCTTTGGGAAACCTGCCGGAACAAGAAGTCACAGGCAATCACTCATATCTAATACCTAACCTCTTAAATCCACATTCAAACAATTTATAAGACAACTTTTTAATACAGCAACAATGTAATCATGTCCAATTATATGTATTCTGCAAAGTAATTCACTATAGTTTTCATATTTTCACTCATACATAAAGGTAGCTGCTCTTCCAGCAAGGAAGAAAAGTTAATTATTTTGAACTTTGTGCACATTCAGATTTCCCAACATCATCCAAATACATTTAATAACATTTTGTTGGCACTTCTATAGGTTTCATCCACAAATGCAACAGCTTGTTTGTCATAGAGGTATTCAATTACATTTCTGAGAGGTCTATCAGAAATTAAGTTTAAAAAAATATATGCTCTTATGTATCTGCCTTTCTCTTCCTTTAGTTTTTTTTTTTAAATATGTGACGATTCTTCACAAATGCAGAGAGAATGTATTCTTTAACACCAGGAATGTTTGCCAATGTTTACATTTAATAAGCTAATAAATATATTAGTGACTGTGTTATATATGTGTGTATATTTAACATTTTCGAATGTAGGTTTTATTGCAAGGAATAAAGATTTCCAAACTAATCTGGTACTATGTAGAAACATATCTGCCAACTTCTAAAATCATGAGTTGTGATTTTTTAGACCAGTTTCACCATCCACACAGGATTATTACCAAACCTGTACAAACAATAATCTGTCGAACAACATAGGGTAAATGATAACAAGTCAGAATCACTCTAGGAAACGCTATAAAGACACTTCTAAGACTTCAGGAACCAAAATGTGAGCCAATCTGGCCAAATGAAGATAAATGTTGCAGTGGAACCTTTCCAAAATAACTCCATAATGACTTCAGCAACTCTTCCAGGAGGTTTCAATCCATCTGTAGCAACATTCAAGCACTGGAAGCCTCATTTACCTCGACTGAAATCAGTTTTGATTCAGCAGAAAGAGACTGGGCAAAAATGGAAAAACAAGTATACAACCAGACAGAACATAAAGGCTCATTTCACCATTGTTCTGTTCTGATATGCTGAATTTTAGTTTTATGGCAAAAATGTAATGACACACCATCCAGCTGAGAGCCAGCAGAATATTTTTCTAAAACCATTAGGAAGAGGAAAAAAGTTTTGGGCAAAGGGTAATAATAATAAATTGTATTTGTAAAGCTCTTTTCAAGCTGAATTACAAAAAGAACAGTCAACCACATCAAACAAAATTATAAAAGAAAAACACTTAAATACATAGAACTGGACAAAAAACAATTCACAGGATAAGCGTAAAACAGGACATGAGTCACATATTAAATAACACTTGAATGAAAGTGAATATTGGACTTTTATCTCAAGCGCTGAGAAAAATGATCTAAAGCAGGGGTGTCAAACTCATTTTAGTTTAGGGGCCGCATACAGCTTAATCTGATCTGCAAGGGGCCACACAAGTAAATTCATTGCAAGATTAAA